CCCCCCCCCCCCCCCCCCCCCCTCCCCTCTTCCTCTTTTTAGTTTCACCGTGTAGTTAGTTTTGTAAGAATCAAGGGAAGCAACCAGCTTAAAAGTAGTGTTGTCTTTTTACCGCTTACCTCCACTTGTTTTTCCTCTTTTGCTTTATATTTTCATTTATCGACATCTTTATATATCAACATCCAATCCACTCCCCAAAGCATGTCGATATAAGCAGATTATACTGTGTGTGTTATCTTTATCAAAATTTAAGCGTTTGAGGATTTCAACAGTCTGTTCATCAAAAAAAAAACCCACCCAAAAATTGTGTTTAGATGAGTAGTGTGTTTATTTTGCTCCTATACTCCCTTCAATATTGTTTTTTTTCCCCAGGTTATTCTCCTTTGTGTTATAATATAATGTGATCATTTATTAACCTAGTTGGTGCTGTACACTTCTAGTCAACACATTTTTTTGCTCGAAAAACCTCTGTCTCGTCGTATTTATCGTTGTTTATTGTTGTTAATTTGTTCAGGTTGTGAAATTCACATTCCATCCAATTTGGAATTTATATCTTAATACTTGGTCTTGGTCTTTACTTTTCATTCCGTCCAAACAATACCGAATATAACTGCTGATGAAGTTTTACAAAGTGCAATATCATTCTCCTTACATGTTAGAAAACTATTGTGTTTATTTAATGTGTGCTCACATAATAATATTATATCAAGGCACTTATTATTGTTTGTTGTATCAAGCTATTACAACCTATTAAATTTGTTCATTCAAAGTTTTTCTGACTTTCAATGTATTTTGTGTCTTTCCATTGATTCCGTGGCTTTGTAGTTATGTGGTTTTGATCTCTGGTTTTCGTTATTGAGCTCTTATAGATATTTTCGTTTTACTGTGAGAAAGTGAATCACCAGCATCTGTGGTGTAGCACTTTGGTGCTTCACCTTCCCACACAGAAGACCTGATTTCAATTTCCTGTTGGGATGTTTTATCCCTCTCAACCCACAGTGGTACAAACAAGCAGGGATGAAGCCAGCCCGGTATATTAGAGCTGGAGTCTTCTCAATTAATCGAAAGCTTGCGAGTAGCGGACGGCTTGTGCCAGAGGCTTGTGAGCAGGCTTGTGCTTTGCTTTGCCTCTCGCTCGCTAACAGGGGGAACTTATGGTGAGTTGTGAATAACGAACAGTCTTGCTGCACTGTGTCGTGAGGTCATGAACTCTCATGGCTGTGGGCTTAGTACATTCTACAGAAGATTCTGGTTATTTATCTTGAGAGGCTTGCACCAAAAGTGCAAGATTGTTTTTTTTTTCATAGTCGGGTTGTAAAAAAGAAAAAGCTGTATTAAATGCACTCAAAATTTAGTAATAGATCGGTTATTCTATGATTCAAAGGCCAGTATTTTTTTACATGTTCATTGGCCAAGCGCTTCGTCGTCGCACGCAAAAGACCTCAGTTCGATTCCCGTATTGGGAGAAATTTTTACTGGGAACCTCCGTCTTTCAGCTCGAGCGTTATTCCCTCTCAGCCCAGGTTGGCCCTGACATTGGGTTGAAGTAGGCCTAGCCCGTCTTCTAAATGTTCTGTATCATATCATTGGTAGTGTAAAACATCTACAAAATAGGCTACATACATACAATACAAAAGCCAATCACAACGACCCCTGGAGTTTTCCATTCTAAGGTAATCTAAGTCTACTTATTACTACCAGATGTTAACATTGCTAGGTCTCTGTTACTACAATACCACACTTCCTCTCACTTCATCCACTCGCTCAGCTGATCAATGGCGAGAAGTTGAAAATAGCTTCAGCTCTCTACATCTTGCACCAAAACAAGCACAGCCTCTCCCTTACTCCACGCTTCAGAGTTCACACTGTGACTGTGAGCGGTCTTGCTGCTCGCTGCTGCAGCAATTGCCAGGTTGCGAGCAAGTCATGGGACCCAAAGCAAGTCATGGGAGCCCAGGCAAATCATAGGGCACAAGAGACTTGCCGGGCTGCGAGCAAGTCATAGGGCACAAAGCAAGTCATGGGACTTGCTGTGCTGCGAGCGAGATTTTAGACTTGACGACAGTCCGCTGCTCGCAAGCCTTCGATTAACCACGCAGTGACACTGTGAGCGGCGTCTCTCTCTCTCTCCCCCTCTCTCTGTTTCTGAAGTAAGTGGCTTTGCGGGTGCAAGCAGGGTGGGGAGGATGAGGGGGTCTGACATGAGTGGCTTCGCGGATTGCTAGTTCGTGTCGACTTGAAGCTTAGGTTAGATCAAGGAGATTAAAAGTAATGGAGGATGCCCTGTGGGCGGCACCGCATGCCTGATAGGAGCCCTCTCTCGCGGCGGAACTGTGGTCTACCTGCGCTGAGCGAATGCCCGACTTACGCACTGAAATCTAGATAAGAAAGAAGGTTTTATTCCGAGGTCCTTGAGATTAGGCAAGTCAATTAGTAAAAATGCCTTGCATCTGTGTTGTATTTA